CATATACACACACACACACACACATACATATACATACAGTAGGCTTGTAAGTAACGGTTGAGGGTTCAATCTCCATTATGCTGTTAAATCCTGTTGTAAATCTTCTTTAAGCTGCTTTGGATAAAAACGTCTGTTAAATGACTACTCACTTGTTGCTCACTATGGACTATATATAGCTGGGCTTCTCAATGTCTCCAACCTCTTCAAACTTTTCTCTTTCTTCTTCTTTCTCTACGACTGAAAAGCATGACTATGTCTTCAAACAAAAGCCAACTATATTTTCATACCTCTCAGAGATATCTAGCATGACGTGACCCGCGGTTCTCAGCCCACGGTGGGAAAGACTTCATCTGAAAACGGTCTTTGTAACAAAGCCTGTATCAGATACTGCGACGAAACTGCCCAGAACTTCACACACGCTCGAGCCTGGGAACGCACACGAATGCTACGGACGCATACCACAACCGATCTCTGTCTACAAACAAAGTGCTCCATTAATGATGACCTCAACTTTGCATCCTTCATTCATTAGAGGGCAGATTTAATTGTTGAAATCATCCAGCCCTCTTTGAAGGCGATGTTTATTGTTGCAGGCATGTTAGAGCTACCAGCTCCCTGTGCTTGTTCTGTTCTTAAAGGAAACCAGGAAATTGGGTGATTCTTTAAATTTGTAGGGCCTTGTTTATGCTTTAAAACAAATTTATTTACACTATTAACAAGCCCTTCTACCATAGTCCACAGTAGTGAGATCAGCTTCTGAAACTGTTACAGAGATTTATCAGAAGTTAGGGATGCAACGAATGTTCGGCAACCAAAATTATTCGGCCGAATAAGCGAAAAGACCAAATAAATTGTACCGAACAATGATATGACGCGATCAAATAGCAACCAGCGCAGAGTGAGAGGCGCGCACTCTTTATTATGCAGCACACACGTCAGCAGTGTGGAAGCATTTAAATTGTCGGAGAAAGACGCAAAAATCATTACAAGCACCGACAGCGAGAGACTGTTTAGGACTGCATCGCATGACTTCAATGAGAAGAGGAAGGGGTTATTGTTGCTAGTTACTGTATGATGATTGAAATCGCGAAATGGCCTTAAACAATTAGTAAATAAACTACAGAACGTTATGTTTTCTAATACACACACGCATTGCATGTATTCTGACAGCGCTGCACGAACTCGCAGCAGATCTGCTTGTTAACCAGGGTTCAGCGCGAGGAAAATCTGCACTGATACAGTCGTCAGTTGCTCAGTCACATTTTTATGAATTTTTCATAATAAGTCATGTGACAATGCGATACGTGCGACGTATTCGTAATGAGACTCATTTATAAATCTGTTGTCAACAAAAATAAGCACTGAGGTCTTCCTGTGCGTTTCTGCCAAAATAAAAGTTGAGAAAAAGCAAGAACTCTTATCAACATTCATAAATGTTAGTATTGTCATTTTACTGTTGTTCTGTAAAATAAAATAAAAAGTAAGACAATAATAATGATAATAATCATTACAACAGTTCTGTTTTAATACATTTATTATAACATTCACACATAGTGTTCAAATTAGGATCTGTAATATTTTCTAATGTTTTAAAAGAAGTCTCTTCTCAGCAAGGCTGCTTTTAATTGTAAAGTAAAAAAAAAAGACCCCCCCCAAGAAGGGTGTCTGATGGCCAAAAATTATTATTTTACTAACTTATTAATTTTAAGTTAAATTGTGCTTTGTTGGTATAGTGTCTGCTAGAATGTTAAAAATGTTCAGTGTTAAATATTTTTAAATTGTTGTTTTGTAATTGATTTTTTTTTCTTTGAAAAGCAAGACAAAACAGTAAAAAGCACATTTTGGCTTTTTAATTTATGCAATGGTGAAAAAAAATTGGCAAAATACATGGGGAAAAAAACTCGAAAAACTGTGTTCGGTATTCAGCCTTCGGCTCAGTGTTTAATTTTGTTCGGTTTCGGCTTCGGTCAAGAATTTTCATTTCGGTGCATCCCTATCAGAAGCCATTACTGTAATTGCATATGGCTGTGGAACACTGCTCACTTGCAATATCCTGAAGATATCCATCTTATTGAACCATACTGATTAATTGAATTTTCATCAGCGCTAAACTTATTAACTGTTATGACAAATGATTCGAGGGGCGTACATGTAGGCCACCTAGCACATTGCTTTTGAGCATTTTCCTCTTCCAGCCAGAGAAATGATTATCTTTCATTTCAGTTATCTGTCTTTGACTTGGTAAATGCAGTGGACGATGGCCTTGTTTGCGGTTTGACTGAGTAACACACCATGCCTCACTACTTCAGGGGAAAGTACAGTTTACCGAAGGCTTGTTTGGCCTCGTAAAATCATGCAAACGAATGTCACCGTGCCGAACGGATGCCAGTGGAGATGAGGGAGGAACACTTACAGGTTCTTGACGGTGGTGATCCCTCGGAAAGCCTTACGAGGAATAGCCTGAATCTGATTCTCGCTCAGGTCCCTGGAGAGAGAGAGATGAGAAAGAGAAAGAGAGAGATATTAGGATTTGTTTGAAGCCACTTCACATTTCGGTCGAAAGCGTTTTGAGGAAGATGGACAGTTTGCTGCCGCCCCACTGGAATGACGCGCATCAGCTTTGAAGACCAAAATTGTTCTACTGACCATAAATGTCACATCCTCCTTTATTCGTCTGGCCTTTTATCACTCCGTCTGTGTGTGCGTCTAATGAAAAACATTTCTAAAGCAGTACTTTGTAATGAAAGGTCTCATAGCGGTACGTCCCACAATCCTGCAGAAAATGAAGCAATCATATGCACTTTGAGTAACCCGAGAAAGAAAATAGACAAAAGCAGCTCTACATCAAAATGAATGCCTGGCATTTTTAATGCTCGCTTATGAGCCAAATGATTTTTGACATGTCACAATGGTTGTGCTTAACTTTATTAAGCTTGTTTGTTTGTAGACTCACGCTGGCAAAACATAATTTGAAAACCAGAATGCAATTACTGGCCAAGAAGGAAACAAATGAGATATGGAATATCTGCCCAGCTAATCAAAGCGTCTGCTTTGGAATCATGCCTGCTACACATAACACGAACAGACCACCATGTGGGTTAACCCACCTGACCTTGCTACAACCAATTTCACTGATAAACAATCAGGCGCAGATCCAAACGCGAGAAATTCTGCCAGAGCTCGTGTGTGGGACATAATGATGTATCAAGTACAGGACTGCCAGCAATTTCCTCTTAGGAGCATTAAAAACTGTAGTTATTGGGCTCTCCCCTACTTCAGCCCCCCACCAGAACTGGATATGTGTGTTTTTTTCCCTTTCCAACCAATCAAGTTTTATTATGGCAAAAATCTTAATAACTATGTTATGCTTTGCAATAAGAGGCTATGGTATTTCATCGAACTGTTCCTGATGGTTTTTGACATGTTCCACAAGCCTGCATTGCTTTTTTTTCTTTACAGCACTCTTGGCTGGCTTGATGTGAACATCATGTTTCCTTTGTGTATCCTTCAAGTTGAACTATGCAGGAGGGCAAACATACGCCCCAACATCCCATGATCATATGCCACAGAGTGTGAAAATACAGCCGCTGTTTATACCATCATCACACTGGACAAGAGCGAATGTATATCAGCACTACCTCTCTGATGGTCTAAATACGAAACAGATAAAGTGCAGAGATGGTGTGGAGCACAGAGGCAACTTCTCTTCGCTTTGGCTTTTTAATTCTTCATGAATGGCGAAGCACCGGTCTCATACGTACTCGGCGAGCCGCGAGCGCAGCGTAGTGCTTTACAGCACTTCCACTGCTAATAAATGTTTTATTGCTTTGTTTACTCAGTGGAACCTTTTTCATTATTTCTACAAAAGGCAAATTGTCCCAGCCAAATAACGGCACTTATGAAACACAATAAGTCTCAGCGGTGCTCTCGCCGATGAGCGACAGAGAGAAACTCCATGTCAGAAGTAGACAAAAAAACAGTCCCGAGGGCTTTGGGTTGAATGAAATGATTTCTAATGAAGAATTACTTGAAACTTTATGAAAGTTTATGATATATGAGAATTATACTTGCAGGAAAGATGTAGAAATGTACATATTTCACCCGCTTTGATTCTATATTAATTATTTTACAGCACTCTTGGCTTGATGTGAACATCATGTTCCTTTGTGTATCCTTCAAGTTGAAGTATGCAGCGCATGCACAGAGGAGGGCAAACATTTGCCGAGTAAAAACTCATAACATCCCATGTTCGTATGCCACAGAGTGGGAAAATAGGAAAGCTGTTTATACTACCATCACGCTGGGCATGAGCGAATGTATATCAGTACTACCTCCCCGTCGCCTTTGATGATCTAAATGCGAAACAGATAAAGTGCAGAGATGGTGAGGAGCACAGAGGCAACTTCTCTTTGCTTTGGCTTTTTAATTCTTCATGAATGGTGAAGCACCGGCCTCGTGCATCCTTGGCGAGCCGCGAGCGCAGCGTAGTACTTTACAGCACTTCCACTGCTAATAAATGTTTTATTGCTTTGTTTACTCAGTGGAACCTTTTTCATTATTTCTACAAAAGGCAAATTGTCCCAGCCAAATAACGGCCTATATATAATTAAATACTACCAATCAAATGTTTTGGGTCGGTAAGTTTATAATATATTTTTAAAAGAAGTCTCTGCTCACTAAGGCTACACGTTTGTTCATAAATACATTAAAAACAGCAATATGAAATTTTAAATCTTTCTATTTTAAAATACTTCATAATTTACGTATATGACGGCAGAGCTGAATTTTCACCAGCCAGTCTTCATGGTCCTTCAGAAATCATTCTAATATGCTAATTTGAAGGAAACATTTCCTATTTCTTATTCTTATCAATGTTGAAAACAGTTGTGCTGCTTAATGCTTTGGTAGAAACCATGATACATTTTTTTTTTCTCTGAAGAATACAAAGTTCACAAGAACAGCATTCGTTTGAAATACTAATATTTAGTGACATTATAAATGTCTTTACATTTACTTTTGATCAACTGACGTATATGACGGCAGAGCTGAATTTTCACCAGCCAGTCTTCATGGTCCTTCAGAAATCATTCTAATATGCTAATTTGAAGGAAACATTTCCTATTTCTTATTCTTATCAATGTTGAAAACAGTTGTGCTGCTTAATGCTTTGGTAGAAACCATGATACATTTTTTTTTTCTCTGAAGAATAGAAAGTTCACAAGAACAGCATTCGTTTGAAATACTAATATTTAGTGACATTATAAATGTCTTTACTTTTACTTTTGATCAACTGAATACATCCTTGCTGAATAAAAATGAATTTCTTCAACTAAAAAAAAGCCCTCTGAGCCCTCTGAGAAATCTAATCCCCGTCTGGATTGGACTGCTTGTTGATACAGTATATCACACAAGTCTAATTTCAATGGCTCTCGTGATGCACGGACCCGGAGCACATGGGCTATTCTTTCCTTCTTATATTTAAAACCAAAGTCAAAACAGACATCTGTCTCCTTCCATCTAGCTTACCGAGCACAAACCGCAGCCCAGCTGGGTGACTGGACCGTTGATACGTCTCCCACCATGCCCGTGCCTCTCTCAGTATCTATCAAGCGCTGTCTTGCTTTCACTCTTGCTCTTGGCAGGGCTGTTATCTGCATGCCAAATTGAATCTAGAGTCCGAGATTCTCGCAGAGGCCCTGATGTCTGTCAGTGGGTTCCTACACGCTTCTGTTAAGTCCTGCCAGCGCCAACAGATCGACCCCAGATGCGCTGGTACGATCACACACAGATGGGTCGGACACGTCTAAGCGTACACACATGATCAGGTGAACGGTTATTAAAACCCTCCAGATACTCTCGCCAGATATATGACATTACATTATTCATTTAGTAAGCACTCATAACTGGGGCAAACCGCGTTGCTTTCATATTACATCTGACCTGACTGCTTCAGGGATGACTAGTTTAAATGTGCGTGTTAGGGGCCAAATGGCTGTTAAGCATGGCGAGCGACTGTTCTGAAGTAAAACCAGCCCTATAAACAAAAGGAGAGTATTATAACATACCCTTTAGCTTGAGGATTCAGAGTCTGGAGGCATATTTGTTTTTCATCTGGGTGTCATGAGGAATCGGGAAGTTAAGATTGCAAGCTGGCCGGGTCGGATGCCGTTCGCATGGGTTATGAGATGCACATTTCTGATTTCTTTCATTAAAGACACAGCAAGAACAAGGAGAAAGAAGCAGACCCCCTGGGGCGCTCCATAAGCATTTTGTTTTATGAAACCCGAGACGTCATCAAGTCCATATCCATTCAAGCGGCGGTTTCACATGACGAGCTGCATCTACTGTAAAGCATGCACTCTTCCCACTTCCTCCACATCAGCGGAGCCTTTTCCCACCGGAACGGCAATTCATGTAACACTTATTCGATAAAGATATATAGAAATGTGCATAATAAATAGTGACCCCGTTGCAGCCTCGTATTTCACTCTTTTACAGCCCCGGTTATGGTCGTGATGGGCGGCCCTCTCTCTCTCGCTGCCGGCTGGAGTCTCCGCTCTGCTTTATGGCCACTTTTAAAAATGGAGGCAAATTAAAACACTATGTATTTCTGGCCCTGAAAGACTATATAGTATAATTGGCTTTAAGGATGACAGTAGTTCTTAATTACACAGAGTATAGGAGCTTTTTCATTGGACCCAGGCCGCTCGCTCTATCTCTCTCCCGTCTCATTCTGCGTGAATCACCAGCCAGTAGATCCTCTGCTTCCCTTCGGTTATTAAAAGTTATGATTGCGGTTTCTCCACTGAAATCTATCTCTTAAATGGAGAAAAGTGGATGTAAATATTATGTTCTGGCAGGTGGCACAGAACCAGCAACGAATCACACTCTGGCTGCAAATGTGAAAGCATAACTGTACTGATCTGTAGATGGAGGTTTCACCTGCAGTGCTGCATATAGGATGATAACAGCAAACAGATAAAGGCAAACAATTGTGAAGGTTAATACACGTCTGCCAGTTAAATCAAATAATGCATTCTTGTCTGAAGCAGGACAGCATCATTAATCTGAAAAATAATGATTACGATTAAGGCTTTTACTGTTAACAAACCATAAAATATGTTGATCACAGGTCTGTTCCTGCTTTTTTAATTATTATTATTATTATTATTTTGACAGTGGTCAAAACCAGACAACTAAATATATAAATTTTATACAAATGTTAAAAATGCTGTGTTAGAAATCTACAAAATGATATCATGAATTGCTAAGATCACCCTTCAGCTTCACTTTAAAACCATCAAAATATTACTGATGTAGTTTTAAGATATAAATATAGTTGTTAATGTGCTGATTTGCTGCTCATGAACCAGTTCTTATTATCACTGTTGAATACAGTTGTGATGCTTAATATCATTGTTATTTTCAGGATTCTTTGATACATAGAAAGTTCATTTATTTGAAACAGAAATCTTATAAATGTCA